GTAAATAAGACTTAATTAAAAAATTTATAGATTTTGGCTTTAATGAAGTTGCATATGATAATTATGATTCTTTCTACAGGAAATATTAAAATGTATTAATAGATCTGCTAACAGCGAAGTAATTCTTGAATAATTTTTTCCTTATTTTTTTCGTTCATATTACTTTTTAAAAAAATTAACATTAGGTTGTAAAATCTTTACATTTAATTACAAGAGTTTTATAAATAGTTACAAATATTTTATTTTTAATTAGTTTTGTTTTTGACTTTTCCATTTGATTGTAAAATCTTTACATTTGATTACAAAAACTTACTTTTTGATTGAGAAACCTTAAAAGAAAATTTGATTCTTTTGTATTAAATATCCTCTGATAAAATTTTAAAAAACTTTAAACTTATGTCCGTGTACTTTTCAAGGTATTTAAATACTTTTAAAAGTATGGTGTGAGCATTTTTTCATTTCATTCCCATACTAATTTTCTAGCAATGAACTGAAAAATTCTAAAAAGATTTTATTTTCTAGATTAATCCTAATAAGTCAGCTCATTTTACCTTTTCAATAGAATGTATTTTTTTCACCAAAAGACTTTTAAAATAATTATATCGAAATGTTTTTGATATAGTATTTTGGCTATTTAAAAATTATTTTATTTAATGCATTAGTTTATTATTTATTTATTTGAACCCAAAAAGAAGTGAGAAATATTTTCATAAATCATTTATTTTCATTTATTGATAACATTTAAATTTTAAAAAAAATTAAATTCACATGATGGATGTCTTTAAATTAAAATAGAATAATAATATTTAATTTTTTTAAAAAACTTGTTAAGTTTTTTAAAATTTTTCAATAATATAACTCAAATTTAAACAAACTAATATATAATAATATTTTTTAGATATATCACATGTTTTTATAAAAATAATATTACAAAATTTTATAGTAAGAGTAATATTTTCAACAAAATAAGTACCTGATAAAATATTATAATTTTATGTTTTTATTTATAACTATAGAAAAAACAAACAATTAAGTGACCAATAAAAATTAAAAATTTTTTCTGGGTCGTTTAAAAAGTTAATTCAAAAAATACATAATCTAATGTGTATTTTATATTATATGAGTTGGTTGAATATCAATCAGTAATTTTGAAGATTGCTTGCATAAAGATTTATTAGTAAAACACACGATTAATCTTATCAGAAATTAAAAATAGTTTTAACAATTAAAATGATATTTTTTAATAGTAAAATTGAATCTTAGATTAAAAAAGAGTCATAAATAATTTTTTGAAAATATAATAAGAAGAGTTTTATTGAAAATATAAATAATGAACAAATTAAATTACATATTGCTTTGTAAAAAATAGTAAAAGAAATAACGGATCAAGTCTGAAACCCCTCGATAATAACAACTCAAAAATTTCTCCGTTAATAAAAAAATAAACAAATTTTATTCAAATCTTAGTAAGTTAAGTAAATCTTCAAATGTCTTATCACGTCCAATGTTGGTCTTCCGCATAATTTTTTTTAAAAACAATTCTATCTTTGAAACTAAAACTTTTTTATACATCTTGTATAGATACTTACATCTATTCCAAATACTCTCGGTATTTTGAGTTTGAAAGCCTGTAGTAACATTCACGAATGATTCACCGTGATTTACAGTAGAGTGAAAAAACTCAATTTACTAGTAAAACTTGAGTAGGCGCATCTCTCATCAGAATGTATAATTATATCCGAAGCACAAACTCTTTCAATAATAGGTATGTGTCTACCACTGGCTCTGTTTGGAACTAAATGTAGTGAAATTTTTACCGGTGTGTAAGAAACATCAGCTAATTCAAACACCCAGATTTAATGCTTTGGTTGTCGGCCACCATGGTACTTCTATTTATATCCATATAAACTTTCGTCTATTTAAACAATTATATCATCACCGCCTAAGACGAGTAGGTTTTTAATATAATAATTAAAACACTACTTTCTTATAAGATCAACTGTTTTTATTATGCTGTCTCTACCCACATCAACCTCAAACCTTTTTTGTACTTAAGTATAGTTATTTAACCATTTTGTCCTGCCTCGTATGGGAAGTTGTGTTAGTTGTTTGTAGCGCTTTGGGTTGAACATTATTTTTAATAAACTTAAAACTTTTGTTCGTGATGATTTTATTTAATCAATTTTTCTTTTATATTTTTAAAGGTAGTTATATAATCATCATTTAACCAATCATTGATCATGATTGGTTTTTATGAGTTACACAGCTGGGTGCAACACATTTAAAACACACTTTTACTATGCTATTCAGTGGTACATTCAACTTCGATAGCAATCATTCGGTGCGAATTGAGAAGTGTTTTATATAATTTATACAACTCGTAGTAAAGCACCTAAACGCCAAACCATCTCTGTTTCTTGAGTATGGTCTTGTAATAATATCTTGATTACAAGATACATATTGAACATACCCTTTGAACATTCCTTTGGTTCATAGAAACTCTACTAATTCCACAACAAGACTGTGCAGTAACGGTTTTAGTACTCTTGCATACCAATGATTCATGTGTTAAATTTAAATAAAATTACATGTTTTATTTATATGGCTTTTTAATCTATTTTCTATGAATTTTTAAAGTCTAAAGTTTTCTCCACGAAGAGAAAATTTCAGACTTGATCCGAAATTTGAAATGTTTAAGACAAATTCACACAAGATTAATTTAGTATGGAATGAAATTACATCAGTGTTTAACAATAAATTTAGTGTTATAGAACTCAGAGAAAAATACAATGACTTAATAAAGGGATTTATAAAACTTAAGTTAGAATCATACAAAAGTGGTAGTGGTGGGTGATATGGAAATTTTATCAAGATATTTTACATAGTGAAATAAAAGGATGTGAATTGGTTGCACCAATTTGTTATGATTTTTAAGTATTGACGATAATTAGAATTTTAAAAATGAATTGGTAAATGTGTGTGATAACGATAATATCACTAGAAAGGAGAAGAAGACAAAATCTAACCTTTCAACAATGATAAGTTTTTTCAACGAAGATTCCCGATAAAAGATTTTTTATTAGAAAAATTGATTAAATCACTAGAAGAAACACAGATTGTAGATGAAAGGGCAACAAAATTAGAAAAACTAGCTAATGAATTATAAACAAGTAATGATAAGATACTTGAAATTAATCAAAAACTTTTTAAAGACCAATATTTTTTTTCATTTGCAACTTCTTCATTTATTATTTCATTAATCAATTGATCTTGTGTGTTGTTTAACCTATCATTTATTCTCAAACTATAAATAATTAAGGCTGTACAAACTATTTTGAAAGTAAATTCATTTTCACCATTTTTTATTTTATGACGAAATCTTTGAAATTTTTCTTTTAAAAAACCAATTGTCTTTTTAACAACTACTCTCTGTGGTATTAGTAAATATTATATCTTGACTGATAATCATTTAGTACATCTTTAAATGGTTTTCTAATATAATAAAATTTGGATATACTGCATTGCCTAATATGTGGTAGTTTAAATTAGTATCTGTAGAAATATTATCACATCATTCTTTAAATTTTGACAACTTAAGCACCGTTGAATCGTGTGATAATTCAAATGTGCCGTTAAAAAGAAATCTTGTTTTAAAATTTACATCAGCCATTATTAAAAAATTTATATGTGTATGTCTTTTTTTGTTTAAAAATCTCACTCTACTATTAGTTAAATTGGTTATTGGAATATATGTATCATTCATAACTAATATAATATTAAAAAAATTCTAATAAAACATGAATTTATTTGATAATTGTTCAAATTCATTAATATTAAGTAGTTTAATATAATCATATTAAAAATTTAATATTTTTCAACAACTTCATTAACAAATAAATATATTGTTGGAATTTGCACGTCAAATTTCGATGTTAAATCTCTATACGATATTTTTATCCCTATAAAATTTAAAAATACAATAGATTTAACTTGGAAAACTACTAACGATGCATTTGATTGTGTATAAAATATTCTTGTGAGCAAAATAATTGATTCTTTGTTAAATCTAAAACATTCATCGATTTGTAATTCAAGACCTTTCGTTAAAATTTTATTAAACCAGCTTTTAAAATAAAAACAACTTTTATTGATATATTATTTATACAGAGGTGGCCAAAAAAATTGTAATACCCACATAGATTAAATACAAAAACGATGAATTTTGAAACAGACAATAAACTTGTAATGTTATCAAATATGTATAAAAAATGAGTTTAAAGTTTTAAAAATTAAGCTTTTGGAAATAACATATGATGAAAAACTGAAAGTGACTGGACAAGAAAATGTAATAAAACAAAATTTTTTATCTTTTCCCTCCATTTTACATTTAAAAATATTAATTTTTTATTGCCTCATGGCAAAACACTTAACAAATGAAGAAAAAACACAATAATTACTTTATATGAAGCTAATGTTGATAAAATTGGAATATTAAAAAAGTTTAATATCAATAATTCAACATTATTTAGAGTAATTAAAAGATATCATAAATATGGTAATTTTGACAGAAAACGTGGTTCAGGAAGAGATGTATTGTTAAATGATCATGTAGTGAATTATTTGAAATTAAAAGTAAGTAAAAATCCAAAAATTGGATCTAATAAATTAAAAGAGGAAATAAAAGAAGATTTAAATTTAAAGTTTCTGCAAGAAAAATAAGAAGAAAGTTATCCCAGGTGAATTTAAAGGGGTATAAGTCACTGAAAAAACCATTACTGAGCAAAATTAATATTTTAAAAAGATTTAATTATTCCAAAAAACATTTATGGAAAGATAATGATTTTTGGACATTAATATTATGAAGTGATGAAACTAAAATCAACCTTTTTGACTCTGATGGCATGGTTTATGTTAGAAGACCAAAAGGTGAAAGATTTAATGAAAGGTTTTGACACCATCTGTTAAACATGGAGGAGGATCATTAATGATTTGGGGTTGTTTCCCATCAAAAGGTGTTGGTAATGTTGAAATTATCAAAGGAAAGGTGGATAGTTTAAAATAAATTAAGATTTTAAAAAGAAATTGATTGGCTTTAATAAGAAAATTAAATTTGGAGGAAGATTTTTTATTTCAACAAGACAATGACCCTAAACATACATCGGGTATTGCTAACGATTTTTTTGAAAATA